TTTCAGAAATCCATGCTGACTATTGGTGATCCACAGCATTCCTTTCTAGGTGCTCACAGACTGTTTGCTTAATGATCTGCTCCAGAATCTTCCCTGGTATTGATGTCAGACTGACTGGGCGGTAATTATTTGGGTCCTCTCTTTTCCCCTTTTTGTTTTTTGTTTTATAAGATATTTATTAAAGTTTAGACATTACAAAAAGAAGAAAAAAAAGACAAAAGAAAGATATAAGCAATAAACAATTACAAAGCCTCAAAAACAAAAATGTATACAGTAATACAAAACATCAACAATACAAAAAAGAGAAAAAAAATTAAACAAACGTGTCAGGGAACTGACATCAGAGCTAGAGGCAGAGGGAAGGCTGTCAAATGATGCTGGAGAAGGGCCCAGCAGGGAGAGAGGCAGCTCCGCAGAAGGGGAAGCAAATCAGCGCAACACCAGGGATAAAGGGGGGCTGATGGGGGAATCGGCGAGCGGGCTCCAGGACTCTTCACCGGACACCAGCGGGGAGAGCATGGGTCCTCCGCTACCCACACCCACCCCGCGCAGAAGACTTCCGCGCAGAGAGAGTAGGAGGAGACTGGGTGTCAAACAACTTTTATGTTGGAAAAGATTTAAGAAACGCCCACTGACGGATTCTGCTAGCGACTGAGGCAGCCACGAATGAAGGGCTGTCCAGACAGAAAGGTTTAACAAGGCAACATAGCCAGGAGTGGCAGTAACTTACGCACGAGCAACCCCACACTCATTACAAAAAGCATTTTTTAAAAAACCCAAAAGAGAACAAACAAACATACAAAGGAACCCCATATTTTCATATCCTTATCTTTCATTTGCTTATTTCCTCGACTTCCTCACACCTCCTTTTTTGTATTCTAGTTCAATTAATTGTTCCAGCAAGTCCTTTCCCTCTTTCACAAATTTAGTTCCATAACTTAACTTAACGCAATTTTAGACTTAAATTTACATCTTTACCCAATGTCAATCTATTCATACTTAATTCTTTATAGTATTTCTACTAAAGTCATATAACTTCTTTCCAGCATCCTTCTAACATTCATTAATTTTAGAATATTTCTGTAAATAAACTTTAAATTTTTTCCAATCTTCTTCCACCGACTCTTCTCCCTGGTCTCGGATTCTGCCAGTCATTTCCGCCAATTCCATGTAGTCCATCAGCTTCCTCTGTCATTCTTCCCTAGTAGGTAGGTCTTGTGTCTTCCAGTGCTTAGCAATAAGTATTCTTGCTGCTGTTGTGGCATACATGAAAAAAACTCTATCCTTCTTTGGGACCAATTGGCCCACCATGCCCAGGAGAAAGGCCTCTGGTTTCTTTAAAAAGGTATATTTAAATACCTTTTTCATTTCATTATAGATGAGTCTTGGTTGACCACAAACTTGACATGAGCCAACAGTGTGACGCGGCAGCTAAAAAAGCCAATGCAATTCTGGGCTGCATCAATAGGAGTATAGCATCTAGATCAAGGGAAGTAATAGTGCCACTGTATTCTGCTCTGGTCAGACCTCACCTGGAGTACTGTGTCCAGTTCTGGGCACCACAGTTCAAGAAGGACACTGACAAACTGGAACGTGTCCAGAGGAGGGCAACCAAAATGGTCAAAGGCCTGGAAACGATGCCTTATGAGGAACGGCTAAGGGAGCTGGGCATGTTTAGCCTGGAGAAGAGGAGGTTAAGGGGTGATATGATAGCCATGTTCAAATATATAAAAGGATGTCCCATAGAGGAGGGAGAAAGGTTGTTTTCTGCTGCTCCAGAGAAGCGGACACGGAGCAATGGATCCAAACTACAAGAAAGAAGATTCCACCTAAACATTAGGAAGAACTTCCTGACAGTAAGAGCTGTTTGACAGTGGAATTTGCTGCCAAGGAGTGTGGTGGAGTCTCCTTCTTTGGAGGTCTTTAAGCAGAGGCTTGACAACCATATATCAGGAGTGCTCTGATGGTGTTTCCTGCTTGGCAGGGGGTTGGACTCGATGGCCCTTGTGGTCTCTTCCAACTCTATGATTCTATAATTCTATGATTCTATGATTCTATGATTCTATGATTCTAGATCATCTCCCAGAATGCCTTAATCTTTGGGCATGTCCACCAAAGGTGAAAGAATGTACCTTCAGTTTCATTACATTTCCAACATTTGTTATCGGGCAAATGATAAATTTTTGCAAGCTTGACTGGTGTTATGTACCACCTATATATCATTTTCATTAAATTCTCTTTTAAGGCATTACATGCTGTAAACTTCATGCCAGTGGTCCATAACTGTTCCCAGTCAGCCATCATGATATTATGTCCAACATCCTGTGCCCATTTAATCATAGCAGATTTCACCATTTCATCCTGAGTATTCCATTTCAACAGCAAGTTATACATTCTTGACAAATTCTTAACTTTAGGGTCTAACAATTCTGTTTCCAGCTTTGATTTTTCCACTTGAAAACCTAATTTTTTATCCTGATTATATGCCTCCATTATTTGATAATAATGGAGCCAATCTCGCACTCTGTTTTTTAATTTTTCAAAGCTCTTTTCCCCTTTCTGAAAATAGGGACAACATTTGCCCTCCTCCAGTCTGCCGGGACTTCGCCTGTTCTCCAGGAATTCTCAAAGATGACTGCCAGTGGTTCTGAGATCACATCTGCCAGTTCTTTTAATACTCTTGGATGCAGTTCATCTGGCCCTGGAGACTTGAATACATCTAAACTAGCCAAGTATTCTTGTACTATCTCCTTAGTTATTCTGGGCTGTGTTTCTCTGCTGAATCATTTGCTCCAAATTCTTCAGGTCGGGCATTGTTTTCTTTATCGGAGAAGACTGAGGCAAAGAAGGCATTGAGGAGTTCAGCCCTTTCTGTGTCCCCTGTTTGCATTTCACCATCTTCTCCTCTGAGTGACCCCACTGTTTCTTTGTTCTTCCTTTTGCTACTGAACATACCCATAAAAGCCTTTTTTGTTGCTTTTAACCTCTCTAGCAAGCCTGAGTTCATTCTGTGCTTTAGCTTTTCTGACTTTGTGTCTACACGTGCTGGCTATTTGTTTGAATTCCTCTTTGGTGGTTTCCCCCCTTTTCCATTTTTTGTACACATCCTTTTTAAATCTTAACTCAGTTAAAAGTTCTTTAGATAGCCACCCTGGCTTCTTTAGGCACCTTCCATGTTTCCGTCTCATTGGTATTGCCTGACGTTGTGCTTTTACTATCCCCCTCTTAACAAACTCCCAGCCATCATGAACTCCCTTTCCTTTTAGTATTACTGTCCATGGGATCTCACCCAGCACTTCCCTAAGTTTTATGAAGTCGGCTTTCTTAAAGTCAAGAAATTGAGTCCTAGTATGCTTGGCTGCTCCTTTCCGCTGTATAGTAAACTTCAGAAGAGCATGATCACTCGTGCCTAATGATCCTTCCACTTCTACCCCACTAACCAGGTCATCAACATTGGTTAGGACCAGATCTAAAATGGCTGTTCCTCTTGTTGCTTCTCCCACTTTCTGGACAATGAAGTTGTCTGCAAGGCCAGTGAGGAATCTGTTTGACCTTATGCTCTTGGCTGAGTTTGACATCCAACAAATATCCGGGTAATTGAAGTCCCCCATTACTACTATCTCCCTTCCTTTTGCATGCTTGGCCATCTGTTCCAGGAAGGCATCATCTATGTCCTCCGTTTGGCTTGGGGATCTATAGTAAACTCCCACAATGAGGTCACTGTTATTCTTCTCTCTCTTAATTTTGACCCAAATGCTCTCACTTTGGCTTTGAGGTTCTAAATCTTGGATCTCTTCACAGGTATACACATCCCTGACATATAACGCCACTCCTCCTCCTTTCTTGTCTGGTCTGTTTCTCTGAAATAGATTGTATCCCTCCATTGTTACATTCCAATCGTGGGACTTATCCCACCAGGTTTCAGTGATGCCTATTATGTCATATTTAGTTTGCTGTACCAAGAGCTCAAGCTCATCTTGTTTATTTCCCATGCTTTGCGCATTAGTGTACAGACATTGAAGTCCATTAATCATTCCCCGTGTCTCTTATTTAAGGATTTTTCCTCCCAGCACTAGGTCTGCATGCTGTTTGCTCCATTTGGTCTATGACATTTGGATGATCATCTTCATCAGTTGATAGACTCCTACCTTCAGGAGCACTGTCTCCCTCCCCAACATTAGTCAGTTTAAAGCCCTCCTGATGAGGTTTCTGAGATTTTTGGCAAAAACATTCCTCCCAACCGTTGTGAGGTGCAGCCCATCGCTTGCCAGAAGTCCATCTTCAAGAAACTGCAGTCCGTGATCTAAGAATCCAAACCGCTCCTGTTTACACCATTTGCGAAGCCAGCTGTTCACTTCCACTATTTTTCCCTCTCTCCCTGGGCCACGTCGTTCAACTGGGAGGACAGATGAGATGACAATTTGTGCATTTAATTGCTTCAATTTCCTGCCCAGAGCCTCGTAGTCTCTTTTGATCTTCTGGAGGCTTCTCAGAAGATTGCCACTACTCATCTCATGGTGCTCTATTCCAATAATTATTTTTTGAAACTGAGCAACAAGACATCTTATTATGTGGGGGGAAATGGAGACAACAGAGGGTGAAATGGAAAAGTTCATCACATAGGTGTTTTGAGGAATGAAACAGTCAAATGGTGGAGTTGTGATGTTGGAGGAGTCAATAAAGGGCAAAGTCCCCAACATCTATAGGAAACAGTCCTCCCCACACGAAGGTGGGGATATGTAAATGCAGATATCTTTGATTCAGGCAGAGCAGCTCATGTCGCCTTTAATTCACTCCAGCATGCACCTCGAGAGAGATGGAGTCAACAAGGCCTCTGGGTATAGGGTGGTATATAAATTCAATCATCATCATCATCATCATCATCAACAACAACAACAACAACATTGAGTGGGGTTAAACCACACAGGGCATGTACCAGAGGAGAAGCTGGACAATTCTGTTACAGGACCTTGAATATACATTCAGCATTCCATAGTAAAATCCATTTAGAGTTCATCCAGTTGATAGAAGATGAGACACTTAATCTCAGGGTCATGGGTTCAAGCCCCACATTGGGCAAAAGATTGGGGTCTGGACTAGATGACACTCATAGTCCCTTCTAGTTCTACAATTCTGTGATTCTACGTTTAGGCCAGACCTGAGAACACATACCCATCAACTGTCCTGATTTGAGCAGGATACCCTGGAATTACAGACTGGCTTCTGAATGGATTTCAGAATGCCCCATTTTGTGGTTCAGTGCTCTGGTGCAAATCATTTTGCCAGAGTGCCAAACCAAAAGACAATTGTTTTTTTTTTGCTCTCTCACAATTCACCCAACTCCTACAGGAACACAGGACCAAAAAAAAACAAGTATCCTGATTTGAAGTTGGTTCAGAAGCATCATCTCTCCACTCTATCCATTGGAGGAGGCAACGGATGGGGGAGAGAATCAGTTCACTTTTGAAGGCAAACCTACTTAATTTGCACTTTTCAAATCAATAATGTGAAGTGAAACACAGCCATCCTTTGAAATTTGTAACACAGTTCTTCAGCCAAATAATGTGTACACAAATACATGTACTAGGGTAAAGTGGGCATAAAATACACATATTTGTTAAAATAACATTAAAATGCATTGTATATGGGGAAATTGCTTTACACGAAGGGATAGATTTGGCAAAACTGCATATAAACATAGGAGTTGCAATCACAGGAAATATTCTAAATACTTCTGTCTCTTTGCACCCTTGGGAATTCTTCCCAGCAGATTTGAGAAAGTGCTTAAAAAACCCCTGAAAGGATCTAGGATGTTTTCTTTCCAGCTTGGTGTGCGTCCTGCCTGTTGCACAGGGTGAAAAACCAGCCACAGACTACAGACCAATGTCAACTGACTGTGCTTTTACATCCTTTCATTCACCTGCGGTTCACTGCAAGGCTAGAGCAAGAACAGCCTCCTCCAAAATTACCACAGGTAAGACTCAATTCGTGCTGTGGGAAAGATGAGATTTATGATCTATTGTATTTAGAAATACACAGCATCATTCCAATGAGGTTTGGGAGAATGGAAGACTAGAATCCAAGACGCATTGCGATTCTCATTGGGTTTATAGAAAGAAAAAGGATGTGGGGATTAACAGATCAGGGCTAATTTATTGGTTAGGAGTTGATGATCCCACACTCTTCCTCAGTTTCTTGGAAAGCTGTAGGTTTTTACACAAGAACGTAAAAAGAGCCTGCTGGATCAGGCAAATGTCACCTTCTGAAGGGCTTTGTTCTACTGTTGTTGTGTTGTAGTGCAAGAGTGCCCCTCCGGACAGCAATAATGCAGAAACACGGGGAGCACCTGATGAAGTGGATGGATGTGTGGATGGCCCAGTATAAACCCACCAAAGGACTAGCTTTGTTTTGCATCAGTGCACTTGCAAAACACCCATCTGGGTGGGCATTCAGTTTCTTTGGGTGGAGAGGATTTAGTTAGACCTAGTATCATTAGAAAGCCAGACACCGTGTCATTCAAAAGCCTTCAGAGCTTGGGACCAGTTTACTTGGAGGATGGCCTGACCCCCTATATCCCCACCCCCAACTACTTCAATCTGTGCAACGGACACAGTTCCAGGCGCCATGTAATCCTTGTTCCACACTGTGCTCTTTTCAGTAACTGCTTAAAACATTTTTATTCAGAAGTTACCAGTAAATGTATTTGATTTCCTTTTTGCTACCATTGATTTTAAGCACCATTTGCATATTTTGAAAGATTTTTATCGACCATGCTTCAGGGATCTTGTTTGTTTGTTTACAATCAAGTGGTTTATAGATTTCAGACCTCTGGGAGTGGCATGGTCTCATAGCCCATAGCGTGAATTGAGTATGAGCAGGTAAGAAAGAAAATGTGAGTGAGAAAAGAGCTGGGAAAATGTGACAACTTTGGGTTCAGGACTTTCCTCATGCTCATGCCTGGTGGGCCTGAGAGGTCGGCCCTTTGGGAGTGGGATGCACATTTTAGGTAAACATTTGACTGTGGGGCTGAGTGCATTTGCTGGGCTCATAAGCGAGATTCACCTAGAGAGGAGGGAGTTATTTCCTCCCCATGCTTGGCTGGGGCGCCACAACCTGCAGCTGGAGGGATGTTCCCCTACCAGAGTTATATACTTCTTTGAATTAAATTAACTGTTTTAATGTGGGCTTGCAATTCCTCCAACATGATCTTTATTACAAGCTGTCTCACAAACTTTCTTTGTGGTTATGGGGGGTTGGGTTGTTTTTCAAAGGGAGATTGAAAAATAGCAGGGATGGGAAAGATTCATGATTCAAAAGATGTTGTATCTCCTGTTCCTCTTGCAGAATAATGGTACTCACAATATTTTTTTTTAATCTCTGATAGGTTTTTCTGCAATGACTGTGTATCTCCAGCATTCTTTGCCTTGTGTTCATTGTCTTACACTCTCTCTTCTACTTCCCTACATAGAATTGCAGTTGGAAAGGACCCCAAGAGTCATCTAGTCCAACCCTCTGCAATGCAGGATAGAGTCTTCTAACAGGATGGAGATAGACAACAGGACCACTGTCTCTGAATTCATCCTCCTAGGCATCACGAGCCAGCAAGACTGGAACATGTTGTTCTTCACTACCTTCCTGATTATATACATCATCACAGTGCTGGGAAATCTGACTATTGTACTGGCCATAAGGTTGGATAGCCACCTCCTCCATACGCCCATGTACTTCTTCCTCAGCAACCTCTCCTTTGTGGACATCTGCTTCACAACAACCATCGTGCCCAAGATGTTGGCCAATACAGTCTCAGGAGTGAGGAAGATCTCATATGGTGGGTGCCTGGCACAGATGTACTTCTTCATTGCTTTTGGCATCAGTGACAGCTTTCTCTTGGCATCCATGGCACTGGACCGCTATGTGGCCATCTGTCGGCCTCTGCATTATGCCACAGTGATGAGCAACAGGACCTGCCTACTAATGGTGGCTGCCTCCTGGCTGACCTCTCACCTCCATGCTCTCCTGCACACCCTTCTAACATCCCACCTCTCTTTCTGTGCCTCCAATCAAGTGCCTCACTTCTTTTGTGATGTCTTCCCATTGCTGAAAATCTCTTGCTCAAACACCTATCTGAACACTCTGGTAGTGCACACAGAAGGAGCTCTGATTGTTAATGGAGCTCTAGCATTCATTGTCCTGTCATATACACGCATCCTGATAGCTGTGTTGAGGGTTCCATCTAAGGAGGGAAAGTGGAAGGCTTTCTCTACCTGTGGGTCCCACCTGGCTGTGGTGACCCTATTTTATGGCACTGTCATCTGGGTCTACTTCCAGCCCTCATCCAGCTTCTCAGCTGAGAAGGATACACTGGCTGCCATCATGTACACTGTGGTTACACCCATGCTGAACCCCTTCATCTACACTCTGAGAAATGACAAGATGAAGGAAGCCCTGAGGAAGCTTTTTGGAAGCAAAGTCAACTAAACTCCTAAAGGATGTAAGCCTGTATTTTGTGAATGCCTCTGATGAATGGGGATGGTTTCTGCCTTTGTGTGGTATCAATGTAGAATCCTTATGATCAGCATTTCACACAGGAAGTGTTGATGAGAATAACTGGTGAAAAGAGAGATAATGGTTTTCATGTGGATCCAAGGGTTTCTATGTCACAGAATCACAGAATCGTAGAGTTGGAAGGGCCCCCAAGAGTCATCTAGTCTGACCCCCTGCAATGCAGGAATCTCTACTAAAGCATCCATGACAGAAGACCATCCAACCTCTGCTTAGAAATCTCCAAGGAAGGAGAGTCCACCATCTCCCAAGGGAGACCATTCCACTGTCAAACAGCTCTTACTGTCAGAAAGATCTTCCTGATGTTTAGTTGGAATCTCCTTTCTTGCAACTTGAAGCCATTGGTTCATGTCTTACCCTCCGGAGCAGGAGAAAACAAGCTTGCTCCCTCTTCTATGGGTCAGCCCTTTGTTGTCTTTTGAATTTTCCATGCCAAGAGATGCCACTTCTTAGGCTGACATAATGAATGGCTGACTGTCCAGCTATTCAGTGCATAACTATGGCATATTGATTATAATTGTAAGAATAATGCAGTGGCACATTCACACATGAAGCTCTCTATCAGGAGGCTGGCCATGTCTCCTACTTTGCAGAGGACAGTCCTCTATTTGAAGGGGTGTCCTGTCCAAGTCCATATTAATGTTACAAAACCATAATAATGGAGAGCTTTGTCTATCTGCACTTAGTAACATCAGGACATCAGGACAGCAGACTGAAGAGGCACACTGGGTATCTGCTCACTGTCTTCCCTCTAATATGCTGGCTGTTTTTGCCATAATAACAAACAAACAAACAAACAAACAAACAAACAAACAAACACTGTCTTCCCCACTATGGTGAAATGTATTGCATTTTTATTTGAATTGTAAGAATTATGCAAATTTAATATGTGCCAGCAAATTTTATGCAAATCTAGGCTGTATCGCGTCTTCATTTTTGGCAATGTTTAAGTAACCACCCTACATATAAAACAGATTTGACTCAAGGTCAGAACCACTGAAGCATTGCATACAATCAAAATAGGTTCCACACAAGACTAAACTGCAATGTTATGAAGGGATCTGCTTCCCCATAGGCAGGATCCTTCAATAAGGTCTAGTCACAAGTACATTTCATTCAGCAAAGGTTTCTAACACCAAATGAAAGGCTTCTGTTTGCAAGTCTGCAAGTCTGCAAGCCTGTTCTGTTGTTTCCTTCTGGTGTGCACAGGGAGTGGGGGATAGCCTCCAATTTGCCCCTCAGGTAATTCTCTAAATCACCCTAATGCTGGGTTCTCCTTCCATTGAATGGGGGTTGTTTCAATTACTTTATTTTTTCCCCTTTAGATGAGAGGCTGTCAGTGATTAAAGGCTTCTTCCACCTTGCCAGAGTGGAAACTGGCATTGGGCAATTCAGAGAAACTAGTCAAGCAGTCATTCATAGATGAGGATGATGATGATGATGATTATCCCTGCCCATCTGACTGGATTGCCATCTAAATATATATAACTAGATGCATGTCTGAATGCCAAGCCAGG